AAGGATGGGTGGGTGGATGAATGGATGGATGGATGGATGGATGGGTAGGTGGATAGATGGGTGGATGGATGGATGAACATCTATACTCTAAATACATCATGCCAATACATCATTACAGCACCTACCTTCTTAACCATAGCCTTCAGATAGTGCTTTTCAGCTCGACTCTCTAAGGTATAATCTCTCCAATCCAAAAACCGTTCTCTCAGTAAGTCTCGGTCCTTTTGCTGGGCATGACTGAGCGCGAGTTGACGATGGAGATACAGACGACGCCAAAATGTAAAACTTCTTTTAAGCTGATAAAAAACAAATAATTAAAAGAAAAAAAAAACAAAAAAAAACAGGATAAAAATTAGTTGATGAATAGGCGGTAGTAGGTAAGTTATATAAATGAGTATTATAACGCGTCCCACTTATACGATAACCATCCTTATAGGAAGCCATTTCAATGTTACGGCATGTCGTACCGTGTACATTCTGTAAGTCAGTACCGCACGTTTCCCACTCATACGATAACCATTCTTATGGGGAGCCATTTCAATGTTACGGCCTGTTCTAACGTGCACATGCTGTAAGTCAGCACTGCACGTTTCCCACTCATACGATAACTATTCTTATGGGAAGCCATTTCAAAGTTACGGAATTTCGTACCGTGTACGTGCTGTAAGTCAGTACCGAAGGCTTCCCACTCATACGATAACCATTTTTATGGGAAGCCATTTCATTGTTACGGCATGCTGTACCGTGTACGTGCTGTAAGTCAGTACCGAAGGCTTCCCACTCATACGATAACCATTCTCGTGGGAAGCCATTTCAATGTTACGGCATATTGTACCGTGTACATTCTGTAAGTCAGTACCGCACGTTTCCCACTCATACGATAACCTTTCTTATGGGAAGCCATTTGAATGTTACGGCGACCATTGATGAAAAATGCTACACACATTGCAATAAGTATTCGTACCAAATTATTAGAACAGCTTTCCTTTAGAGCCGATGCCTTTAGCCTGTTTTCAATCGACGCTTGCACAGTTCTTCTCCAAGATAAGAGAACCCTATTAAAAACAGAATAGAACAATTAATAATGGAAAAGAATTAGAAAAGGAGAGGAGAGGAGAGGAAAGGTACGAGGTGGACTTACTTCCTCATAACGGTATGATGATAGTATTGCTCAGCATGCTCTCGCTGCAACACCTGCTCTCGCCATGCGCTAAATATACCCTTCATCGTCTTTATTTCAAGAGACCTGTGGAAGTTACGCCACTGGACACGTCGGGTTCGCACACCTGTTAAAAAAAACCATTCATCACTCTCTTGATGATTATTCCTTTCTCTATTTTAAGAAATTGGGAAAATATCTCCAAAAAAGGTTCAACTGATATTAATATAAGGATAAAAGCCAGAACCATAAAGGTGCTGACACACGGTGCAACATTGCACGCAACAGGACTGTTGCAGCCTGTGTGTACCCCAAACTGACTTGTTGCACGCAATGTCGTATGCAACAAATCTGAAGTTGAATCCCGCTCTACTCTTACAACATTGCGCGCAACAAATTTCATCATGTGAACAGGGCTGCAGCATTACCTGCAACATTTTGAAATTTCCAGCCAATAATCTTATACCAAATTATAACTGCTGACCAAATATCTTAACATAGCAGGCTGACACAAGCGATGTTGCGTGATTTTGTTTCAATGTGTGTCACCCCGATTCAAATTTGTTGCTTGCAATGTTGCGTGCTATGTTGCACCGTGTGTTAATTGCAAAAAAGGCAATCTGAAATTCACAACTCAACCTAAAGCGGTTTTGATTATATCCATATAGAAAGGGCGCTATATAAATTCATAAATCATTAAATCATCATAAATCATTATGATAAAATGATTTCGGATATTTTTTTYCCTTTTTTACGGCTGCCATCTTAAAAGGCAGGAACGATGCATTGTTTTTGTATTTAAAAAGATTATATCTTCCCAAAATTAAATGAGACGTTAAAAAAACTTTTTAAAATCTTTTTTTTAAATTTAAAAGTTTATTCCGTCCAACAACATGGCTGCTCGCGTTAAAACCCTCTACCATCACTGACTGTTATATGTAAACTTACCGTTTGCCCATTCATGCCAAGTTCTTAAAATATCCAAAGAACACTCGATTTCTTTGGCCTGTGAAGAGAATTTCCACAAGTTAGTTCAATAGTTAGTTTAAGACAAGCAAATTTGTCTCAGTTTCAGGATTCGTACTCTTTTGAAGTCTCTAAATTCCATGACTTTCCACAACCTTTTCCATGACTTTTGCATTATTTTTTCATGACCAATATTTATCAAAAACTAAATAATAACTTTAAAACAATTGCAACATCTCTGAATAAATCATAACATTTTTACTGTTCACAATAATGTTTTCAATGACTTTCCATGACCCTGAACATAATTCCATGACTTTCCAGGCCTGGAAAACGAAAAGACGAAATTCCACGACTTTCCAGGATTTCCATGACCCATACGAACCCTGAGTTTCCAGCTTGTAATTTAAGTCGAAGAACGTTAGCTTCATAGGAAATAACTTTGAGTTGATGATATGGTAAGTACATTCTCAATTGCATTGAGCAAAATCACTGTGTTTTTTGCCGCAGACAATAAAGGCAAGTAAGGGTTTGTAATAACGATGAAAATTCCAGGAGTTTTCAATAAAGTGGCGGGAAAAATACAGTTATTAAGAAGCTTTTAATGGCTTTGAAGATATAAAAATGGAATCCCTGTTTTTCAGGGTTTGCAGGAGCTGTATATATAAATCCTGTTGGGCTCAGAGAGCAAAGGATCATGGATACAATAACTTACACATCACTTCGCAGCTAGCAGAGTCTACCTCGTTGGCGATTCTTGGCAGAGAAAATTGCCAACAAGCGAGACTCTGTTTAGCATGGAAGTTTCAATAAACAATTCCAAATATAACCATTTTCTCTGCCAAGAAACGCCAAGCTGCGAGACTCTGTTAGCATGAAAGTTTCAATAAACAATTCCAAATATAACCATTTTCTCTGCCAAGAAACGCCAACGAGGTAGACTCTGCTAGCAGGGAAACACATTATGGATTTAGCATTAATAATAAAATCACCTCAAGAAAGTCCTTGGCTTTGCGCTCAGAGATGAATTGTTCTTGCCACTCTCTGAAGGCCATGGCGAGAATTCTTCTGTCATTGAAATAAGCTCCTTTCTTTCTGTTTTCAGATCGTGCGCTCGAATAGAGGTGCCAGGATATGAAGAACCTAATGAAGCAGGGAGGTGAAGTGTTGTATGATGAATGTAATATAGACCCCTTAAACTAGACTAAATGCCTCTTAGGTATTGTAAAAGAGGTTCCCCTTCCATATTTTCCTTTTTACGCATCTTCCTCTCTTTCTTCCTTTCCTTTCCTAACCTCTCCCTTCCTTCTCTTCTTCACATCCCCTTTTCTTTCGTTCCTTATTTACTTTCTTGCCTTTCTTATTTTTCACTTCCTCCTTCCATCCCCCATCCTTCCTTCTTTTTCTTTCTTTCTTTCCTTCCTTCTTTTTCTTTCTTTCTTTCTTTCTCTCTCTCTTGAACCAACAAGAATCACCCAAAGAAGCAAAACATTGATTGATATCATTCTTACAAACACTCCAAACAGGGTTGCCCAGAGCGGTGTTATACACCTCTCTTTGAGTGACCACAGCCTGGTGTATGCTATACGCAAGATAGCTATACCAACAAATCATAAGC